ATAGTAAATAAATATTGTTTTAAACCTGAAATTTAATTTTAAATAAGTGAATAAAGTAAAGTTTGATTCCTTCTCAAGTAGAAAATTTGGCAAAATTACCAAAATTTGTCTTTAAAATTGGCTTTTCGTCCATTGAAGTAGCATTTAAGTTGTGTATAAAGTTCACTTGCGGATGATTTTGTAAGATTAAAGTTAAAATTATAATGTTGCAGCCTTTGTTCTGTCAAAAGTTGCATTTGTTTTGTTAGTTTAACACACACTTTTGCGCAAATATGACGTCATCTTTACCTTTTTTTTTATAATGAAAGTGTCAAAATGACGTCAAGTTGACGTAAAAGTGCGCATTATTTTGATAAATCCAAAACTACTATGAGAAAGTATAATAGTGATTAATGATATATTAAATTCATTATAAAAGCTTAAAGAAATTTTGAATTTATAAACTACTTGAAGGATTTGACTGTTTGAATGAAACTATGTATTTTATATGTTGTAAGATTATTACAAGCAGCAATCTTTGTAAGCATCATTTCAAACAAAAGAATTGCAGTAATTTATATGTAATATTACTTTAATGATTACTGAATTAAAATTCATCTTTTATTAGCTGATAAAGTATTTTATTCAAGGCAGAGATTGTTTAGGTTTTGAATTATTAAGCACTTATAAATTTTATAGACTTCGAACCTGATTTACAATAAGAATTCACAATTATTATATAAGTAAATATGAAAAATTGAATGAATTACTATCTGAAAAGACTCTAAACAATGTAAATAATTACAGTAAATATAAAAAACTAACTTTATATAATATAAATTTTATGAATTAGTTTTTTTAAAGTAAATAAATTAAGATTAATGGACAAAACTTCACAAAGAATTCGGTCGAAGTATTCACAAAATTCGCGACTTTATCTAATTTAGTAGCCTATACTAGAAATATATAGAAATTTTTGAATAAGCGTTAATATATATGAATAATATAGTCTAAATTATAGTTTTAAATTTTTTACTTAGATTTTGAATACAAGCTATAGTAATGCTTCGTAGTAACTTATATTACTTTCATTTCTCTACCATCAACTCCTAATGTGTTACATCTCTCCGTCTTCGAAATTTCGAGTGTTTTGCTATAAATATAATCATTTATTTCATTTTAATATAAAACAATTATTTGCATTTAATTATATTTAAAGAAAGTTTAGTAAATTGGATTATGTCATTTCTAAACTTTACATTATATAAAGTCTATATGCAAAATTTAGTTCTATTTATGTATATAGTCTATACTCTATAATATATAGGCTACATAAATAGAATTAAATGGCTAATAAACGGAGATTTGAGCTATAAAATATTAATTTATTTAACTTAAAATAATATTAGAAGCCACAGATTACGATAGTCAATAAATAATTTATATTAACTTGGGCATGAATATACGGGAGATAATTTACTAAAATACATGCTTTTGAATATAAATTTCAATATATTATAATAATTAAAACCTATTTTTATACTTATTCATTTAGCCTATAATTTTATAAATCAGCATTTATAATTTTATAAATCATTATTCTACGTTTAACTTTGTATACATTGTATCATAAACTCGCATATAGGCCTACTAATTATGAAAATGAAGTTCGAAGCTTCCATTAAGTCTTTTAGTAGACTAATAATAATAATAATAACTAATGACAATGTAAAAATTAGTAAATTCTTAAGTTAGGCCTCCTATAAATTTGATATTGAGGCTTATATTAAATGCATAAACATGAAAATTTTATGTATAGGAATGAAATTTATGCCAACTTTATCTCTAAAACAAAGCTTAAATTGACAAAGCAAGCTTTACAACTAAACTTTAAAGTTTTTATGAAGCATTATTACTAGCATAATGCAACTTTTATTAACTTTCATAACTGTCTTACACAAGTATACAGTGTAAGCCGGTTTATGTTTGAACAAAGATTAAATTCATTAGATGCCAAATATATTTTTGAGTTTTAAAAATGCTTAGGATTCCGCCTGTTGATTATACATTAGGAATATCCAAAGGACTTGCAAAGCCTACTTTTTGAATTTAGAGAATGAATTTTATAAATTTTACGCAGGCCTAAGCAAAGATAAAGTAATAATTTGCATTAAAATACTAATTAAATTAATTAAAATTAAGTAGAAATCTTGTATTTGTGTTCTATAGACCATTTCAGATGTTTATAGTTGTATCCTTACCTTAATCACAGTTGCAGAATTTATTTTTAATGAAATTAAATCGTAGGCCCATGTAATGAAAGATAAGGTTCATAAGGGAGTATAAGGCTCTATATTTTTAGTATCCTAATTTTATATGAGACGAAAGCAAACATTTGTGAATCTGTCATTTTTAGGGAATTCGCTTTATTCCTAAACTATGAAACGAATATTTACAAGAATAAGAGATTTTTGTAAGATAAGGATACGAAAAATATAATAAACTTTACATTTCTACATCAAGTAAGCCTTTTATAACATAGGCCCAATTTTTAATGAATCTTGGGTTTAAAAATCAAATTAAAATTCAAAAAACATGTTTACGAATTATTATTAGAATTTTAACAAAAGTAAAATAATGCTGATAAGATTTATCTTGATATTTTCTAGTGATGTAACAAATGACGTCTTTGACTATTTTTATAGAATTTTAAATATATATTTATTTATTCACTATATTTTAAAATTAGTTGTTAATTACAGTACATTATTTCAGATGAGTTTAAACTAATTACATTGACGTTTTTACTTTAGGCCTAATTTAATTTTATAAACAGTTGTACTTTTACAAAAGATTACACACTAAAGTCCTATAAACACACCTTAGTTCTCGACCCCATTTAATTTTTAGCAAGAAACTTAAAAGTGTTACTTAGCTTAATTAAACTTAAACTATTTAAGAAATAATCTATTAATTAAATTATGTAGGAATTAAATTAGATTCATTAATTAATAATAATTTACTTGTGTGATAGCGATTATTATTGTAAAACTATGAGGGGTGGCTTCTTTTAAATACAGTATTTCAATCACTGAATTAGTACAGTTGAGACGACAAATAATTTACTCAATTTAAACACGAGTTTAAGAAAAATTGACTACTGTACAGTACATTCATTTTAAATACATTTGAACTGAAATTGTTTAATTAAATTTCAGTTTAAACGTATTTAAACCGAATTTTTTCATGTCGTAATCTGTTATTAAGTTTAATCGTTCACCGAAATTTATTAAACACGATTTCCAACTTTCTTGGAAGAAATTAAGCGTGCAGTTTACCATTTTTTTTAACTGTAGAATTAAATTTCAGGACAGGAAATTTTTCCATTCCACTTAATCCGATTTATTGTTCTCTTTCAAGGTACACGGCGTGTAAACATCACTTTTCTATAATTCTATCAAGCTACCAAGAGATTATTTATAGAAGAATATTCTATTTATCTGTTTGATAGCATTTTCAATGCTAAGAACAGTAATTTACATAATTATAATCGATATACATCAATATATGTTATGTAGGCCTATATACTCATACTCATACACTCATACAAAATTATATTAAATAATTACTTTCATTAGAAAATATTTAATAACAAAAAAACGTAAACTAAATATAATCTTCTATATTTTTGAAGTGAAGTTAATTTTTTATTATATTGTTTTAATTAATGGGAAATTAATCAACCTTACATTACTTTAGAACGAATTTAATACAAATAAAAAATATTTCATTTAAAAAAATAGGAATCGGATTTATAATTTTGATGGTTTTAAATCAAAATTTAGACTTTTTTGAATTATCTGAAATTGATATTTTATCAGAAACATACTGGAAAAATTATTGTGCAAGATGCAGTTAACTGTGACAAGAAATGCATTTTTTAAAGAGTACTTAAAGTAACTATAAGAATAAAAGAACAGAGAAGCATTAAGTAGAAGTGTGGACAAGGTCCTCAAAAAATTACCATTTTCTTGTTCTTTTCGGTTTTTTTTAGAATCGCACAACAATACACCAATAAATAGGACCAGGACCGAAGGAAAAAGTTTGAAAGAAAAATGAAGTAGTGGATCACTCTCATCAATTACTTAATTATATTTGGAGAACATTCCACTAGTTATAGCTTTTTGTCCTCTCTTTCTTCTTTCCGAAAAATTTTCCGCAGATAAGGTATCGTGTGACAACACCCAGCACTAGGCAGGATGTCGTCAAGGGCATTAAAAACTTAGTTTAACCAAATTTGCCCCTTATGTGCTTGACTTAGCCCGAGGCTTGGACAGTAACTCGATTCTCTACTGCAGCATATCCTATTTTACTCGTCATTTTTTTACATTATACATGGCCACTACAATAAATTTTAACTCTTGTTAAAGCGAATTTTATACTGGAAAAAATATATATATTTCTTTTTAATTTAAATTAATTTAATATAACGGTCCTATACCATGGTAATAACATAATGTTTTATTTATGTTTAATTTTTAATTACTTATACTTAAATTCTTAAGTATATTGATACAAGATTACTTAATGGAGTCAATAGGGAGATAATAAATTTCGCTACCGATACTAATTCGCAAGTTGCACTTGTTAAGTTTTCAACGCTCAATTTGTAACAAAGTACAACTGTAAACATGTTCGACTCGAACAGAATTCACCACTTATTACTTTAAAAAAATATATAATAATAAAAAAATAAATATATATCGGCCTATTAAAAGCAAAGTCATAAAGAAGATAAGAAGGATAGATTTTAAACTCCGCCTAATAGTACCACCTCTACTGATATTAACCAATTAGAAAATTAAGGCGTGGTCTAAGTGAGGATATTTCCAGGACGCAATTTTGTACCCGCCCTCTATCAAAATTAGTGTAAGAGGGATTGGCCTAACGGTTGGACCTCATATTTTCTATTTTATTTATATTTTTACTTTTCTATAGCTATCTTTATCGTTTACTTACAGTTTGCTGAATTGATCGGAAAGTTTTAAGTATTTTCTGATATTCATCATGTGGTTTCTATAAGTATGTTTCAAAATATCGCCACTATGCACGTACCAACTGCGGCCTATCAAGATCCTGGGCCTTATTTGCATCCGACAGCCATGTACGTGCCAAGTAATCGCCAACTTATGTCCGTACATCACTACGTCAATACGCCCGTAAGTAATCAACTCTCTCAAAGTACCACTTCTAATTACCCTGGCATGTGGACCACAGGAACCAATGGTTTACCTCAGCGTCCAACATCGGATCAGTACGGTTCTGGAGGAGGTCACCCAGCTACCCACTTTGGTTTCCAGGTAAATATACATTTTTCGAACTTTATTTGTACGAATTTTTTATCCTAAATATAAAAGAAAATGCATTAATTCACCCTCTTAAATGAGAAATTTCAACCTTGCATACCTAAAATTTGATAAACTTTATGTTCAAATCGATTCAAAAAGCAGTCTAGGCTATGTTTTTAAGCCTAAAAATGTGTCTCGAAGCTGAATAATTATCTGTTTCAAGGAATTTAACACCTCTAGGCAAATGTAGGCATTAACCTAGAACAAATAAAATTTTTTTTTTCGATGAGGTGTTAAAATTAAGTTATATCGCTCCTAAGGTTTTTTTTTATTGATAAAAAAAATTTAACTCATTTCCATTCGTCGATTCTGTGATTTACATTTGTTCTTATTTAAATATAGGCCTATAAAAGGAGGTCATTTAGATCTTCAGAAGTTACGTATACAAGTGTAGACAATGTTTGATCTATTAAAAGCCGTAGACCCTACACAAATTCCTTTATTCTACGAGAAAATGTAAACAAACAGAATGAAAGCAGACATATAAACTCACTTTTATCCAGCTCTTCATTCACACTTATCTAGTGTTAGAATCAGCTTACTACAGTCACGACCTTCTCTAGTTTTACAGCTTAATAGTTTACAATCGTCCAATTTTCCCTTTACAGAAGAGCCTACCTACAGTTTAGTATTAAGTTTCGTAGTGTTAACTCTTTAAACAAAGATCGACTGGTCCGGTTATATAACAATCGCCCATTGGATCAAATCTTATCACATGATATTTATTAGCATATCCTGCGTATTGATATAGAATTAGTCTATTCTATTCATAGAATAATGGCACTATTCGTTCAAGTAAAGAGTTATAATCTGGAAACTATGATGCCGAGATTTTTTTAGATCGGTAAGCTAAATTTATGGTTTAAACTGGGTTAAATTTAGAGTTTAATATTTAAATTACTCAATTTTCCTTGTATATTAGGCACTAAACTTAAATTATTCAAGAAAAATAGTCAATTTATTAACATGTTATTCTAACTAAACTAATAAAATATCTGTCTAATCATTAACCAGGCAATAATGAATATATAATTAGCAGTTTAATTGAGGATTACAGATGAAATAATAGTACTAAACGTTAAATATTTCTATAGATTTCCTCATCCTAAACTTCTTTTCCGAAGATCTATGCTTGATAAACTATTATTACTATAAAATGGCATGACTTTGAAGTTTAAAAAAAAAAAAACAATTCTAGGCCAATATAGATCTGATCTGAATTGATAAAACTAAGTGTATTAATAATCTGTAGGCTGCTGTTTAAATGCAAACCTGAAGATGTAAAAGAAAAATTCTAATAAAGGACAGGAACATCAATCATAACATTTTAATACATTTAAACAGGTTCATTAAATCTTTTATCTATTTAAATTTCATAAACAGGAATATAAAATTCACACTTATATACAGGCTAATTTTATATGTCTTTCTGTCTACACGTGTGAACTTGGGATGTTTCTGTTTAAAAGTTCGGAAATGCACAAATTAAAATGGAAATTTATCAAAAAGTTTGTTTATAATTTAAAAATTTAATAACTTATTTGAAAGAATAGCAAATTAAAAGAATATAGTCCATTTTTTTGGATAAANAACTCATGCACATAAGAAATTATTGGGCACTTACTTATTTATAATTTGCAAATTAGATTTATTTAAGATCTAAAGCTTATTAGGTTCTTCTCTAGAAGCTCTTTACGATTTAAATTTTTTCTATTTCTGATGCATTACAAGATTTTTATTCAAAATATAAAGTTAAAATGTCAGTCTAAGCTTACGATTGAATTGAAAACCTTTTAAAAACATTCTAAGGTAGAATTTAAGTAATGAGACTTACAATTTTTACTCCATACGCACACTAAACAATTGCTGTATTGAACACAGTACATTATACACATAGTTTTGTTCCAGTCGTATTAGTTTAGTTACAAATTAAAAAATATTTATCTTATTTATCGAATTATGTTAATCGGGGAGAGTCAGGTTACTCTAATTTTCGTAATCTGTAGGCCTAAGCAACTGCAGTTGTTTTCATGTATTATTCAAAAAATATTATTGATAATTATGAGTTTATTTATATATATTAATTGGAAGTCCCATGTCTAGGACGTGACAGGAATAGAAGGTCTTTTTTAACTTATATCACTTAGACTGAAAATTCTACTTCTAACGTTATTACTTTCTAAGAAATAAAGTTTAACACATCTTATTGGAAGGTCTTCCGAGTATTTTTACTTTTATTTTTTCTAATAAACTAAAAATATTTTAAATTAATTTAAATTTTAGGCGCTATTTTATGTTCTAAAACTGTTAATGATGTTTAAAGTTTTTTTCATCTCCCCTCTCTTATTAAATTCCATGGAAAAGAAACTCTACCCGACACTATAAAAATTTATTGTAAAATCTAATCCCTTAACTAAAAACTAAAATGTTCTGTATGTCTAACCATTAGAGACTCATTAAAAGTCTAGTCACATAATTCCGGACTAATTCTGTCATAAAGCACGAAAAGGCGTCACTCTGTCGTAACACAGAACATGCAAATGTTGTATGTACAGAGGTGTCACGTGCCTGATATAAAACTCCGATAGACTACGATAAAAACCAGTCGTCATGTTTAAGTAAAAAAGGGGGAGAGAAAAACCTTAACAATTAGGTGACAAGGATAGTTTATAAGTCTGCTGCAGACTACTTTAGATTAACGATGTCTCCGGACTTTAATTAGTTCGGGTCTGTAAGTGTCTCTTCTTTAGTTGTAGTCTCAATTTTCAAGAGTTCACTGCAACTAGAAGTCAACAAGATATGATTTAAATTAATGTATAATGGCTCCATAATTATAAATGCCAAATTTAAAAGTAATTTTTTTCATTGTTTTCTTAACACAAACATAATAGAGGAACGATAATTGGGATTGCATAACTTACACAGAGATGATAATACTTGTTAACAAAAAAGATCTTTAATAACAATTAATATAATATGGAAACGTTAATAATAGATAGAATGGATGTAGAGGTGACTTAAAAATTTCGAAATTCTTTCAATGATTGAGCCCCTATCTGTTGCTCCACCTCAATAATAGATCAAGTGCATATTGGAGGAGATAAAGCATACACATATGTTATTTATTCAGCCAATAAGTTACAAACGCTAAGTGCTTGAAACGACTGGTTCAAGATAACCTTCTTGGTTTCGTCAACCAGCAGTCATCTACTTGACTTCGTTGTCAAATAAATTCTCTATGGAACACAATACTTCGTCTAGAATAATAACGATTGTTTCTTCTTTAGTAAAATAACAAAAATATTAGGATTTCTAACCTGTGGTAAGTGTATAATGTCTTGTTTCTTCCATTTATATCATTGGCATTGAGGTAGGTCTATTATGCAATAGGTTATTTATGCATTATAGATAATAGCTTATTGAATAATATATAGGTCTTTCGTTTGATATAAGTTACAATTCTTAAAATTTGGTAGGCTATGCTTGAATTATGCGATTTAAAAATATAAGATTTTCATATAGAAAGCTTCGACTTACAATATTTAAAACTGTATATAAAAAGCACTAAATTTATTAAATTTAACATAAATAAATAATCGCTAATTTCACAATTTATACTATGATAAGTCTTTTAAATTTGTTAGGAAGCGTTAGAAAAATGAAGCTTTATTAAATTTATACTTATAAGATCGCATTTATAAACTTAAATTTCGAAAATTTAGATTTTAAATTTCAGTTTTTAAACTTGGAAAAACGTTCTGAGTAAATGTATTTAAATTATCATATTAAAAAGATTAGAAACGCTTTATCTACATCTATTTTTATGTTGCGATTCCGAACATGAATTATTTGTAGCATATAATTGACAACAGTCGAGGAGGAAAGAGCGTGTAATACGTATTTTCGTAGTGTTGCAAATTATATTATTATTAGTTAAATGAATAAATTTGCTAGTCTTTGTGACGTAAACTTATTCATTTAACTAACAATAATACAGCTGACGAGAGGCAAATATTCACATTGTCCCTCGTCAGTTGTCACTTATGTGCTGCAAATAATTCAGACAATATTTCATTTTTCAACACAATTAAAAACATATTACATTTGTCGCATCTTTATTTTCCTGTTTCTGATATTTATTTTATTAATTGCTAAATTTTCCAATTTAGTTTAGATTCGTTTATGTCTAAGTGTTTTCTAAGGCTTGCAATATATTAAAAATTAATATAAAAATTTATATAATTTTATATTAATTTTTAATATAAATAAACGTAAACTATATATAATTATAATTATACATAAAAATTTAATGTTGTAAGTTACGTAAAATTGATTTTTCAACAGGTTCTTAAGACCAGATTTAACAAATGAATTAAAATTTTAATTAAAATGTTTAATATTGCCATCACTTTTTTTTTGTAAATAAAGATTAAATTGATAAATCTGGTTTATTTTTATTATTACAATTATTTAAAAACCATTGTTTAATGCTTGCACAATTGTTTATGAATGGGGTTAACTCATACAGGTTATTTTAATTATTTTAACAGATAAAAAATATAAATTTTTATAATTTTTATTAAGCAATTATTAAGCAATTTTATCTAAATGTAAAAAAATTGCTTTCCTGCATTATCAAATAAATCTAGAAATAATTAATTTAATTTAAATAAAAAATAAAACTCATGCACATAAGAAATTATTGGGCACTTACTTATTTATANAATTTACTTGTGCTGCCATCTCGTGTCATAATATTTAATAAAGAATTTTTTTACATTTTTTTAAAAAACGTTTCGCCATATAAAAGATACTCTTTTACGCAATATTTATTAAGCTATTACGTACAATTGTAATTTTTAAAAATTTTTTAAAAACATTTCTTCCAAAAAGTTTTTTAATACATAAAAAGAAAACTCAGGAATTAATTAATTAAATAATTAAAATTTTAATCATATTATTGAAATTAATAAAGTATTGTTTGATGTGGAAATTTGGGAGTTTATTTAAGATTTAAAACGACTATCATTTTCTTTTTGTATTATATCATAAAGATTAATGTTAATTGTCTCTCTGTTGTACATATATCATATCTTTAACTATTTTTATTATGTTGTAGACGTAGAATGCTTTGTATTTGTCTAAAATATTGATGTTTAACTGGCAATTAAAATGTACAGAAAATTAGTTTTCTCCTTTATTTCAATTTATAATAATATAGTTGCACTTAACGTCACCAGATGGAGCGACAAGGGGTAATTTTTAGTCGCGCCACTTGGTGATGATAGTTACGATTAAGTTGAACAACATTATAAAATTTATCAATTACTTGAGTTAATGAAATTATTAAAATATATAAAAAGGTAACTTTATATATAATAACATTAAAAATTATAATTAATAATTAATNTAATAACTTATTTGAAAGAATAGCAAATTAAAAGAATATAGTCCATTTTTTTGGATAAATTAAGCTTAAATTTAAGCAGATAGCCCCTTTTGATTTATGAAGAAAAGCAATTAAACCTACTACTAGATCTACCTGTATTATATATATAAATGGATTTACAGTGTAATTCGGTTCAGTAACATCTTGACAATATTAGAAATGTTCCATTATAACAGAATCACACGGCGAATCTTCAATCAATATCAACTATATCCTGCCATTTTACGACATACTGTCGCACGTCTCTTATATTAAAGCAGGTATTTACACATTAATTCCAAATCCCGGTTTAATGTAGGTATAAATTACACAAAAATGCCAAATTCCCTATAAAATAGTCGAGTAATTTTAATTAGAATTAAAATCATTTTATTTATTTTTTTTATTTTACGGATTACTTTCCTAGAGGAAATTTAAAATCATTAACATTCAATCGAATTAAAATTATAAGTGCTGTAAAATATTTAAAATTCCTAAATAATAATTAATTGTTGTTGCATTTGAAAGCCTTTAGAGAGAAGAAAAATGATAAAATTAATGCTTAAATACGATTAAATTATAAGAATTTAAGATTGTTCATTGAATATTTAAGAAAATCTCGCTAGAAAATCGAGAATTTATAAGGTTTTTTTTACATAAAAATTACGTCATTTTAAGGATATCTCCATCCAGTTAAAGTTCCCGAACTTCTTTAAACACTTCACTGAATTTTAGTCACGTTTTTAGCAATAAAATTTTAAAAAGTTTAACCAAAGTCCAAGGTAAACACTACGAAGTTGAATATAAATCACAGAATAATATGAATGTATAGCAGAGAAATCTAATTTATTAAAGAAAAAAAACCATTAATTACGTTAGAGAATGTCGTCTTAAACACAGTTAAGAAGGAATTGGAAGCATAATTAAATACCTTTATCCAAAAATTTATTTCTGAGAAAACTCGACGTTTGTTTTCCTTTATGATATTTACAGTGGCAATTCTTATAATTTATATTTTTCTGCTTCATTATTAATGTGCAAGTTATAAAAGACAAAGAAAGGTATAATTTCCTCTCATATTCGGTCTGTCGTATTTGACTTTTCGCCTGACTGCCCCTGCGTATTTTAATCAATAGAGTCACGCATAGGACCTCTATCGCCATGTTTGTGTCTCTCCCTTATCTGATTCTAATCTATATTTTCACACAAAGCGTGTCCACCCGAACTAAATTTTATCATTAAATTATTTTCAGATATAAATGATAATTTATTAAAAATATAATAACTTAAAAATAAAAATAAAGTTATAACCTCTTGAATATATGCACAGAGCTAGAGACATATTTTATGAGCTTATGTATGCCTATGAAGTTTACAGGGGGCTCGTAGTAGTTCCTACAGCTATAAATTAACATTTTTTTAACAGAAAAGAAAATCTTTAGGATTGCGTTTTGTTTATTAATAAGAAAACATTCTACGTATTTTATGTTAAAAAAATGGTAATCGGGCCCGCTAAAGAAGAACAAGGGCCTGCTCTTACCTGGGCCCTATATATATTTTCCATGGTCTTGGTAGTTTATATAACTTCATTCAGTTTCTTCAAATTAATTTAAGACGAGTTTTTCACGATCTTAAGAAGATTATGTTAAGAATAGAGCTTGCTTCTCAGTGTTACCTGCGCAGAATTAAATTATATATTTAAGTAAAATTCCTCTGATCATCATCATCATTATTATTGAAATATTTTTCCTCGTCTTTTCAAGCCTCTCTTCTCCTTCCTCTGTTTCTCTTACATTTATTATTACTCTAGACTTCTTCACTTATGATTGTTCTCTTATCCTACTACATCTTTTTTCTATTTTAAGGCCTTTGAAAGGCGAAGGATCTATCTTCACAGACATATTATCATATAACTTATATACAAGAGGATACGAGCTTAATTATTATTTTTCTTTCTACTTATGACTACTTTAAATTCCTATCTAAAGAAATTTGAAATATTCTTCTATGTTTTTATCTCTGTTTCTTATGCTTCTCAACATTTTACACCATAAATTTAGCTTCAATAACAATTAATAACATTTTTTCTTTGTAGCTTTTATTTGATTGATCCCAAATAATTCTTAAAAAATTCATTTAGTATATAAGATAATCGTTTAATGACGGTAATCGAAGAGCATTTATATAAAGTAGCTCATTATTAAACATAAACTTTAACGAAAATATAGGTTTTTTTTTTCTTTTTGTAGGAGTTTAAATGAAGATTGATAATGTTTCTGATAATAATGTATAGTCAATAGTGTAGAAGAATAACAATAGGTACAAAAGGAGACTATTGTTCAGTAAACCAATTACTTATTGATCGTAAAATGACGCTACAGTTAACATATAGTTTCATCTGAATGAATAATTTGCAGCTAAATAATGTATATATGTTGATTTGATTCTGTTTCTGCAATAAATTATAAACTAATACTGCTTACTATGAACAAGTTTAGGTCACAGCCTTTCACGGTATGTGTATAGAGCCGTGATTCCTAAACTTTGATAGTGTTTTATTTAAAGATTTGTTAGGTTTTCTAATAGTTTATATATATATTTATTATAAAAAATTAAAAATATAGTTAATATCACGATTAATTTCTCATCAGCAAGTTATCGAAATGTAGCGTCATGATGTCGCCATAGTTGTGTTTTAAGTAGTAACTGGAATCGACATTTCTTCTTTATAACAGTTAAAATGTTACTTCATATATATATACTTCATATATATATATATATATATATATATATATATATATATATATATATATATATATATATATATATATATATATATATATATATATATATATATATATATATATATATATATATATATATATATATATATATATATATATATATATATATATATATATATATATATATATATATATATATATATATATATATATATATATATATATATATATATATGAATTTGCAAATGATAGCGAATTTTTGTCAGTTTTTTAGCTAAATCAGAAGGTTTATCACAATTTTGGGAATTATTCGCTGTATAAATCTATTTTATTGACCTTCATACCATTGTCTTTCAGATTTTCGCGCTTCGCACTTTAAAAAACCTTGGTATAAGGCAAAAATTTACGCATTAATTATGATGATCCTCCATATTTAATCTAGAAAATTTCCGTACGAGCTTTACATATGTAAGATGCAATTCACAGATTAATTTCGACAATGGTTCAACTTCTAAGACGTAAATGAAAGCTAGATAATGTGTTCGGGTGGTGGTTTGAAGCACTTAAATACATTGTGAGAGAGTACAACGAAGTAAGGCAAAGCACGGTGGAGCACAAATGGCCCACTATAATTATTAATCCGCGAGTAAAAGCTAGAGAAACTCATTAATAGAACAAGAGGTAAAAAGAGATGCCGATCGATGAAGTATCCGAAAGTATGGCTGCACTGATGTATGTCCGTGCAGCCCGAAGGGACATCATCTCTTTTATCTAGCGTGGAGTCAAAGATTGGCAATTAAGGGTGTTTTTATAACGTGGTGCCCGTCTTTCAGGATCCTATCTCTTTAGCCCGAAGGTTCCATACTCTAAACCTAGACTACTAATTGCTCGGAAATATGATGCTTACATTTCCATTTCTGATTTACGGTATCTAAAATTGTGAACGTTTCATCCGAATTTTTCAGGCTCCTAATCCATCAGCCACCGTTAATACGTCATGCAGAGATAACTCCGCCTACATATCGAGAACCAATGGATTATCGTATGCTAATTACGTCGGCAGCGACGTCAATCCATGGACATTGGATGGAAGCATGGCATCCATCCAGGGAATGCAAGGCAACTCACTCAGTAGAGGTCAGTAAATATTTGATTTCTTAAGATCGGTATCTCTCTAACTCCAATGGAAGATTATATTAAACCTGTTCGTTAGATCATTTCATACCTATAATTGTTGTTTATACAACAATAAAATGATTTATATGTTGAAGTTTCTTATCTGTTTGAACATCAAATTTAACACCGCGCTATCTGAAATGCTACTATAAATATTTTGATTGTGTCGCGATATGTCTGACTCAACCTACTTATTTTTTTCCTCTTTTTTTAGCTTTTCTTCTTCATTCGCGTGAATTTATTTACGCTTTTATGTCGTATATTTAACGTTTACTTACGTTACCAACCTCCTAAGATAGTTACGAACGCACTTTGACAAGATGTCGACATATTTTCGCGTATCTGCCAAGTCTGAAAAATTATTATGAAGGAAGTTTCCGTCCCGTTTTTTTACTCTTGACATCGTGACTTCTTTTAAGGATCCCCCGGAATATAAAATAAATAAATAGCTTTTAGTAACGACATTGTTAAAATTCCATAAAATGACAAACGTGAGTGACGACGAAGGCAGCGAAGAAAGCAGAAAAAAAAGAGAAAATAATGGAAAAATAAATTTTAAAGTAGAGAAAAACAGCTTAAATTAGATAAGGACCTAACATAAAATTTTAAATTGATCGAACGAGATATTATCCTCATAATTTTTAACATCTTCATCAACGGAGCAGAAGGATGTCGTCAAAGCATGAGCCTATAAAAGTTAACTTTTAACGTAGTTAAAAGTTAATTTAACTGATTTAAATAGGGAAAAAAGGCAATAAAAATCTCTCGACGAAAAAAATTAAATTAATTAGATTTTATCACATTTAAAACGCTAGATAACCCTATTTTATTTGATGAGAAATCCAGCATTATCAAAGGAAAAGGATGCTCATTTTGATAATGATAATAACCTCGGAACTATCTGAACTATTTAAAAATCTCTTCAGTGGGCTGACTTTATTCTTAGCAGTAACTTGGCATAACTGTCAAGTGGGTGAATATTTTCTCATCCGTGGCACCACTTCTAAAAGTAGCGGGACAACGCCCTTGTTGCTGTTACTCCGACTGCAATTTCTCTCTTTCTCCCCTTCTCTTCTTCTCTTTTCAGATTCAATCTTTTTATCTACTGACTTATCATACTGTAACGTCCTTTTAAAAAGTTGTAATTCTGACGTAAATCAGTCCGGACAGGTACTGGACCATGTCTGTACTCTTTCTCTTTTTTTTATAGCTTGTAAAATGACAATAGGCCTGAAATCTATTCCCTACATAAATCACGCCTACGAAGTAAAGAAGTCTGTTCAGGGAATGCTTAAATATTCGATAAAAAGACGAGGAAATAAGTCTACAGCTTAGTTTTCTCGGTCATATTTGTATAAATTATTTTCGGATTGACTTGCGTAATTCGGTAGGAATAAATGAGTTAGTATTTGTATAAACATACTCATACGAGATCATATTAGGCCTTATAGAGCTATACAAACTATACAAAATCGCATTAGGCTTTAGAAATCTATACAAGAGCATATTAGACGTTAGTATATATTATGTAATCCACAATGATTACTGATAGTCCGTGACGAGGTTGATAGAGCTGAAGACTGACAGATTAAGTTCAAGAATAAAAATGGCTGACGTTTGTGTATCAAAACAAATTAATAAAAATGTGTATTTTAACTAAAATATGGAAAAAATGTAACGTTGTAGCATGCATCTACAGCTCTTTAGTAGGTCTATCATTATAATACTAGGGCAGTTATGCAAGTTATTCTTGGGCTATTTTACACGCTAATTCTTTCGCTTTTATTAATATATTTTATTACAGGCGTTAATGAACTAAAATAAGTTTAAAACGATTGCATTATATGTAAATTATACGCAAAAATCTAGAATTCGATCGAATTAGTGCGTTAAATTCTGAATTGGATAATTAGAATTACGACAAAACGAACAGATTCTAAATCTCTACATTTATTTAGGCCTAGAGTTTATATTCATCGCGTATATTTTATTAAATTAAATTAAAGTTATATATAAAGGCCTAATAAAAGATTGCCGAGATTAATTTCAATAAATTTCAATAAATTTCAATAAAAAAAACGCATGGTGTGAAGTGCCAACTGCAAACATCCTCAAGAAGTGAATTTAAATATATAAAACACATTCAAATTTTACTTAAAACCCGTATATAACACTTCTATGTGATCATATTTTCTGATAAATTACACTCAAGCGACATTTTTACTAGAAATTACGCTTACTACAGACTTTTAATTACGTTAAACACCATTGAAATGTGCTCTTTAGCCCATCTTTATAGAGTATAGTTACTTTTATTGCATACAATATACCACACAAACGCCTATGGACATACATAATTTATATAACATGATTGGAAAATAGTTCATTTATAACACACTAGAAAGATAATAATTATTTTATTTTTTTTTTTTTAAGTTTTACTTCCTGTTTGTGAAGTTGATAGGCATTCAACGTATTTGTTTTGACACCTAGTTTTAATTATTTATGAAGTGTCTACTAGCTGTCAATTTTATCAAATTGATATTCGTATAGAGGAGCCAATTCATAATCAAAAAAACTCGATGTATATTCGAATTTGTATTACGCACACCACCCCTTCTAGGATAAGGAGGAGGAGAAGAAGAAGAAAAAAAGGAGCAGAATAAATAAAACTAAATAGAAAATTAGATCTAATCAAGTTCGAGCCGCTTTTTTCAGCATCTTTCATATTAAAAACACGTGTGTAACATGTTAAAGATCCACATGAATGGCGATAAGCTGCACTTCGCATCGCTTCCTGCAGCGCACAATTTTATTTTATTTTATTATTATTAATTTTTTTTACCCTTTGTTTTCTATCTAGATGAATAAATTAAATGAGAACATCTGGTTCCATTATGCTTGTATATTACTATTAATAAAATAAGATAATTTATAGCTTAGGGAAGAAGAATTAACGGCAACAACAGATCGGAAGATAATTTTAATTATTAATTTTTAGAATCTCCCGACTATAATTCGTTCGCCGACGGACGTGAATGTGTTAATTGCGGTGCGATATCGACACCACTGTGGAGGAGAGATGGCACAGGGCATTATCTATGCAATGCGTGTGGTTTATATCACCGAATGAACGGCATGAATAGACCTCTTGCTAAACCTCAGAGGAGGCTCGTAAGTAATCTTACATTCCGTTTTATCTGTATGTGTATATTATGCATACTTAGGCCTTCATATATACGATAAATTTAACAGGTATCCTCTAAGAGAATGGGCATTCGGTGTCATAATTGTGGAACCACCACGACTACTCTATGGAGAAGAGATAACGAAGGTGAACCAGTATGTAACGCTTGTGGTCTATACTACAAGTTGCATAACGTAAGTATGGAAAACAAGGCACGAGTTAAGCGTTAAACCTGGTATAATACCAATTGTAAGTGTATGAAAATTGTAAATTTCATAATATTTAAGCGGATAAAATCAAATATTCGCAGGTTAATAGACCTCTAGCCATGAGAAAAGAAGGTATTCAAACCAGAAAACGTAAACCTAAAAGTGGGAATATTAAAGGTACAGCTACTCAACAGGATAATAAAGAAAGCGATAATACACCAACCACTATAGGTATGAATAATTAAGGAGGATATTCCCATTTAAAATGTCTTTTTTTTTTTTTCTATATTTGTAAAAATTTGGTGGGGCTGGACTTACATTTGTTGTGGCCCTAAGCTATAACAAACAGCGAGGTCCGAAAGCCGCAGCTTGTATATTGTAGCTTACGTGTAAACCCGGCCCTGCAATTCAGTATATTTGAAGTGTAAGAGTTTATTTGTGAGAAAACATATTAAATATTAGAATATTTACTAGATAAAACGATAAAATATTAATAAACAAACATATTTACGAATTGCAGCCGAGACAAAATCAGATAACACATATAAATCGAGCAAACTGTTGATTTCTCAACCGTCGTATCAAACAGAAAATATGGAAAATGATATCAAACCGTCCTGCTGTTCTGGGAACGTCTCGGCTTGGTCTACATGCCAAAGATTAGCCAATATAAGCCTAACAACTTCTGGAAGAATATCGGATATTGTATGACGTCATTTACGGGTACATAATATTTAGTTTTTTTTTTTAAATTGAATTTTAACAAGAGAAACGGAGAATATTTGTGCAATTAATGTCCGTACCGACATGCCTAGTGTTTGTGTTTGTGTATTGTGTCGTGAATTACGTCACGACTGTGATATCGACGTGTTTCAATTTACTTGTGCTGCCATCTCGTGTCATAATATTTAATAAAGAATTTTTTTACATTTTTTTAAAAAACGTTTCGCCATATAAAAGATACTCTTTTAGGCAATATTTATTAAGCTATTACGTACAATTGTAATTTTTAAAAATTTTTTAAAAACATTTCTTCCAAAAAGTTTTTTAATACATAAAAAGAAAACTCAGGAATTAATTAATTAAATAATTAAAATTTTAATCATATTATTGAAATTAATAAAGTATTGTTTGATGTGGAAATTTGGGAGTTTATTTAAGATTTAAAACGACTATCATTTTCTTTTTGTATTATATCATAAAGATTAATGTTAATTGTCTCTCTGTTGTACATATATCATATCTTTAACTATTTTTATTATGTTGTAGACGTAGAATGCTTTGTATTTGTCAAAAATATTGATGTTTAACTGGCAATTAAAATGTACAGAAAATTAGTTTTCTCCTTTATTTCAATTTATAATAATATAGTTGCACTTAACGTCACCAGATGGAGCGACAAGGGGTAATTTTTAGTCGCGCCACTTGGTGATGATAGTTACGATTAAGTTGAACAACATTATAAAATTTATCAATTACTTGAGTTAATGAAATTATTAAAATATATAAAAAGGTAACTTTATATATAATAACATTAAAAATTATAATTAATAATTAATATAAATAAAAAAATTATTGATTTGTATATAGTGCCATCTACCGATAGTTTCAGTCAATAAATTTTGTAATTAAAAATTATTTTTTAAATTTAGGTCTGATTCTTTAAATTTAAATATTTTATCTTAACTATAACTTTTTTAAAAAATTAAGTAAAGACAGAAATATTCAAATTGAAATTTAAAAGCTTTTAAAATAAATTATAATCCAATATAGTGTCAACACTTTAATAATAATTCCTAAATTGTGATTCACGTTTAAAATGCACGCGAAAGAAATTGAATTTTTATCCCGTCGAAAAAAATAATACAAAAGCACCCTCTGTCAAGAAAATCTTTTACTAAATATTATTTAATTTTGAGAGAGTTTCGGGAAATAAATCATCAAATTTAATTTAAAAGAATAAAAATTTATTTTTGAGAATATAAAATGTTAAATAGAATAAACTTTTTGTTCTTGATTTTTAAAACAAAAATTATACATTTTTCATCTTCGTTTTTAACGTTAGAGAATCAAATGGCTCAAACGCCCCCGGGTGTGGAATTAGAAAATATTTTCATTAAAAATTTTTTTTAATTTAAATTTTTAATTCTTCTAATTTTAACTGTTGTAATAATTTAATTTTTCTTTTGCATGAAATATTCCTCAATAAATTCCTGTTTGAGTAACAATTATTTTGTAAACAAATACAATTACATAAGGGAAATTTCCTGAGCTTTCTATATTACGTAATACATGTTGCTTTAAAAAACCTTTATAAAATTATTTCGAAGAACTTTATTTTGTGCTTAATATTTTATTACATGCTAACTTTATAGGTAAATAAATATTAAAATTTATTTTAAAATATAATTTCTTTTAAAATTTTTAAACAGTCGAATATAACTCAGCGCCCTCGTACGATAAAAAATAAGAAATATTTAATATTTTAATTTCGATTAATTCGAATTATATAATTAAAATATTTTCAATTGTAATTATTCAATTTTAAAAAATTTATAAAGAAATAATCTTCATTCTAAATACTGTTTACACAATGCAATTTTTGACTGAAAATCTGCCATTAAAACGCGTTGATGAGTTTTTAAAATATCGATTTTCGATTTTGTCATAATCGCTCAATAACTTTTTAAAAAAAATCAGAATGAATGGACGCAGGTCCATAACTCAATCAATCACCTATAGATGCATTCAGTTTCATTGCATCTAATAAAGTCCCTATGGGGTTGGCGATACAATGGGAGCACTACGTAATGTATGAGTGAAGTGGTGCAGGTCTCCATTCTCTATCCGTGATTGAGAGGAGCAGTTTTGAAGATAAACATCTCCAATGGCCAGAAATTGTGCCCAAACTGTTTTCCGACGCGATGGTTATTTAGATAACGAGTGCAATCAACGACTTCAATTTAAATTTTGATAAGAACTTTAAAATAATATCTACTACACTAAATTGAAGTTTCACTTTGCTATCGTCTTATATACTCTTTGGTTTGCAAGGTCAACATATTTTGCTGTTCGAGTAACTTAATGAAGCTTGTGTCGCATGCAAATAACTTTTTAATTATTATAATAGGATCGAATAACTCGCGTTACATCTCCTATTACATGCATCAGTAATTGTTGCTTGATAAATAATGTAACACGTTTAATCACATCCTTCGTTGAGAATTTGTTGATCGTAACCGATAATTTTGGAATCTTTTTTATTTATGAAAATTTAATATAATATTTTGGTCGAATTTAGGCGCGCGTTGGCCCACATTTAAAATATATTTTTGTACTGAATATCTCTCTTCAGTTGACGTAATTAAGGACAGGGCCGGCTGGAGGTTTTGCGGGGCCTTGAAAAAATGTTAGTAGGGCCTCGAAATATTTGCAAAAAACAAATTTCTTACTCAAATTTTCTTATAAATTTGAAAGTGCGAGGTTCAAAAAGCCCGAAAAATTGACTGTGATTAAGGGGCGCGTAATTTATTTTTAATTAGCCGAAATTATGAAGATTTTTGATTGAATCAAGACTTTTGTTATTAAGTACTGTATGGAATATAAAATTAGATACAACTGTACGTTATTTTTATTTTTAAACAGTTGTAAACGAATGAATAGGCACTAATTAAAAATTGCAAATGTCTTACAAATATTCAAAAATCATCGATAAAAATTTACAATTCGGTCAAACAAACCAGATTTTTTGAACTTATAAAGGTCTCGTTGTTTCCTATGCTGTCTAGTTTCATCTCTGCACAGTATCATTCGTCACTTGACATCGTAATTTACTGATTGGAAGATACATTGCTGGCCTAAGCAACACTTGCACTTCCATTCACTCAAATGTCATCGTAATGTATCGTGAAAACTGCAATAATTGCACAACGGAGCAAACCCACAACGTCTCTATTTACGGAAAAAAAGGAAGAAATTAAGAAATTTAACTGATCCAATTAAAATATACATGAAATTTAGGGCATTGAGAATAATTTCTAAAAGTGCAATTTACGTCATATATTCGTATTTTTAAACAGTTTGAAGATAGACGATCCTTTCGGGTCAAGGTTGGTTCCAAAGTTTTATATTTAAATGAGGATCTAATTATGCATAAAAGCCTTTTTTTTCTGTTTTATGTATGAATTTTATGATAAGTAATAACACTTATAAGCAGCAGTAGCTTTATAAGAATTATATAGACTACAGCAATTAGGTCAATAACATAATCTCTAGCATACAATATATTTAGGTCTACTGTAAGCTGATCTCGTGCAAAATGATATGGAATTCTGTCCAAGGACCTCTCTTCCTTTGAATTTTACGAGAACCTAACCAGCAGTGTAATGGGATGCGTGTGAGTTTTAACTGAATTTAAACTATATTGAAGGCGTTTGAGATGAATTTTAAAAGAGATAGGAGGGCAAAAAAAGTGTAAATGTTTCGATAGCACTCGAAGGAGATGTCAACGGTTATAATGAGGCAAAAACAGACATGAACTTACGACCGGCACTTACTTGTGTGTTGGGAAGGATTAAGTTGTTGAAAGAAAACCTCGCGATAAGTACTACCGATGATACAAAAAAAAGACACCTCTTAGATTTATATTCTCGAAGAGTAGATAAAGAAGAATTACCGTTTAGACTTGAACGTAACTCGATAAGTTTAATACCGCCAAACGAATATAAACTACATTCATACACGTAACTTACAGTTAAAATTAACTAATTAGTTAGGCTTAACGGAGGCCTTTAGAATCCGCCATGATTTTTTTAAAATTGATAGTCTCTCGCTTCCTCCTCCTCCTCCTCGCTTTTGTTGCCCAATTTAGGGGAAGGGAAGAGCTTCATTTATATTTTTATTAAACATTTGAACTTGGCCAATACGTTAAAAAAGTCATTATTTTCAGGAACTGAACATCGCTGTAGACAGGTTAGTACATACGTGACCGGGATTAATTTTGAGGACAAAGCGTGACCTTGAATAATTATCTCATCGCCACGCTTGACTTATATCGCTTTACTATTCTATTTATATTCTAGAATAAATATATAGTGTGTGCGAGTTTAATTTCGCTTGGCAGAATTCAATTTACTTTATATCGAAAAGGAAGTTATATACACCTACGAATTGTCCTGTTTAAATGGTAAACAGTGTAGCTTTTAGTGTTAATTCTTTATTTGAAATTCGGATTTTTGCTTTCTCTAATTAATTTACAACGAAAATTAAAGATATAAAGAAAATAAATTTCGACTCGAGAACATGTTCCACACAATAGGAGGCGACTATTAAAAAAAGTTAACGTTATCAAACAGGTTCTATCTCCCTTTGGGCTAGTGTTAAGAACCTTATGAAAACATTCATCTCGCGCGCAGTTGTTTTGATAAAGCTAAAACGTTTCCCGACTTTTATTTACACTCAAAACTTTATCGAAGATTTCAACAAAATCTGATTTTCTTGTTGGTGAATTGACAAGGGTAAGTATTGACAGTTCTTCCCCCCTCTTATAATGATACAGCTAGATAGATGCCTATTTTATACGGTAAATACGTGTATTATACATGTAACTAGGCATCTTTGCTCTTGCTACATGCACGTAGGCATATTTTAGGGTATTTAAAAGCCATATTTCTAGTAGGGTTATGCATTATGCACGACCTTGTACGACTTATTCGTGTCCGATAGTATGCATATGAGATTTTTCTACTTAGAAGTGACTTTTTAAGAATAATTACGTGGATCTGTTTGTAAATGATCTTTAGATGTACTATATTTTAGGGTATTTTAAGAGATTATATTTGTATAAGTTACGAGAGATTTATTGTGTAGACCGTTTACTCTATAGAAGTGGTTGGTAATAAAACGTTCATACAACTCAGAATGCAGGAGGACCATCCTAGAAGGGAAGTCTAAAGGGAAGCACTTTTAACACGTAGCCTGTAAGAATCAAATGAAAGAGAGGGTAATTTATATACCCATTCATGAAAGATTTTCTTTTTTCTTTTTCTTTTTTTAATGTTATTTAAGATGCTAAAAATAAAGAAAGTTGTATTATTAGAAATTTACCCATACTATAAAAGTAAAAAACGGTATTTTACTTGACTACATTGTCGAAAAATGCACACAATTTTAGCAGAGAATCCTACTTTTACGATGATTTATACTGCAAATCTGCTTTTATTGTAAATGAACAGCACCACCAGCAACCGAGAATAGGGACTGTAATAGGTGTCAATTGAATGTCACCTTCCAATTATTTAGGCCCAGGTAGATGGACGTATATTACTTTTCCTCTTGATAAATGGCATACCAGACTCGAGCTCACAAACTGTAAATATACTAGTTATCCCCCATCCATTGGATACCACACATTTTGTAGGATGACCTCACTACTTGGGAGAGAAGTCCTCACACTGATAAGTATTAAGTTTCGTAATTGTTTGCTTATTACAACACTAATTAAAAATACAAAAAACTTAAGCTTTGATATCTAATACGGTGTAAATGGGATAGAGTATTAATGGAAAAATTAGTGATAATTTTAACTCATACCAACTGGAACTAAAGAAAAAAGTTGTATATAAAATAAAATTGATAGCTCGATCGTAAAATAAATTTTTGTTCTTGTGGAATGTCTTCCTCCTTCGTGTACGTGATATAATTTATGATCATAATAATTATCTATCAGGCGCCATATTAGTTTCTTTTAACTCTGACCCCTCTCTAGCGTCGTGAGGTAGGCTATTAAATTTTTATTGTTTTGTTTTCAATCCGTATATAAAAAGATTTGTCTCTAAACTCTCTAATTCTTAAATTTCACCATATAAATAACCCTAAAAAACATTTGTGTTGATGCTTGCAACTTATAATAATGATTTATTAATATAATTTTATGAAGTTCCAAAAAATTCCTTTAGATTACTGAAGGGCAGCAAAGTGAGAAATCAGCAAATTTGTTGATTTCTCACTTACACGGCTTAACTAATCAAAAGTCTTGTATAATGGCTAAAAACAGCTGAGAAATGTAAAATTTCAGATGAAGAAACTAAGAAAAAAATTCTTTATTTTTACAGCCCAATAATTGTCTTGTAATATAAAATTTTGCTGTATATTGAGAGAATATCAACAAATTTGTCAACTCCTCCTCCTTTAAAGACAGGAGCCAATAAATTTATATAATCAAAGGATGTTTTTTGAGGGCTTTAACATAAGAAAAGTAGATTACTGTTTAATCATCGTAAGTTATTTTTCCAGATAAAACTTCGTAATACAACTTCCGCAATACGAAATTCCCGTGAAACCTGATACTCCCGGGTGGGCAACTGATACAAAACTTTCTTCTCATCAAGAATATTGTCCTGCGGAAGAATTCTCTTCGCTAATTGATTGCTATTTTCCAAGAATAGTTAATTATAGTCTGATCCCATGCATAGAAACGCGCTCCCCTACACCGACAGTCGACTCTTCTACGTGAATGGCGAGAGTTGGGGTGGCCTGCACATACACTTCAGTTGCGCCCGGGGAAGTTTAGCAACAGGTCCAAGTTTGACAAAGTGTCCACTCTAACGGGGCCTGCTACATTAGGTAAGTTCACACTTTATCTTCGGTTTACTCAAGCAAATTACTTTCGGTTAATTTATCACTTAAAGGGTAGAGGGAGGAGTTTTCGCCTTGTTTACGTATTCTAACAATCCCGCTTATAAGGGGCCCACTAACAAACGTTTTATACATTTTAAATTCGGTACCAAGCCAACGAATCCTCTCGATTTACTATAGCCGAAGCATAAAAAAAACCCGCTCACCTTGTCTAAACCACTAAAAAAAGCACTCGACGGGTCTGCTACCCATATCTCGTTATCTACAGGACCATCTGGACTCCGACATAACTTGGCATTTTCGTGACACCGATTTTTGACATTTACTGATGATTCTTGCTATTTTTCCCTCTTCAGTTATGTGTAGTCGTCCCATTAAACTTCGTGTAAAGCGTTAACGTTTGACTATTTTATTACACAAGAAAACTTTCCCGGAAAACAAAACTGGTTTTCTATCTCCCGAGTTAAATTTTAATTATTAATTTCGAATCCTCTACAAAATATCGGCGGGATATAAATAAATTTATTCGCTTTTTTTCTGTAATTTTCTCGACTTCATAAATTGCTTTATAATCTGGATCCTTAACGAGTGGCGGCAGATGGCGAGTTAAGTACAGAATGGCATAATTAATCACTGAAATTTCGAAAGCCATAAACTTGGTATTTCATAAGCCTACAAGTTATAATACTAAATATTCCGATCAAAAAGTTTTCTATATTTAAAAATAAAATAAAAAAAACGGAATTTTGTAAACGTCCAGCTTAAAAATCCCGTGTTGACAATGTACAGTACTTGTTGAGGTGCTGCGTGTTGAACCAGCTGTGCTTTCCTTCTTCCTCACACCTGTATACCTTTACAAGGAAAGTTTTTACTGTAAATATTCAAATACTTCTACACTTTTCTAACTTAAAAATATAGTAGGAAAACGCGAGTGGAAAACAAACTTATTTATAAACATACTTTTCTATAGTTTACAACTGTTTATACTGTATCTAAGCAACCAAAATTATTATTGATTGTATTCAAAAGGTTTGCATGTATGTTTTGGGCTGTTTTCGATGACACACTCAATGTAAATTTAGGTTAAAATGCGTCACACACAGCGAAATTACCCGATTATGACTTACAAAACGGGAAATGAAAGGTAAGTTTTGGCGATAAGTTAAATATCGTTTGTATGAAACCCAAAGCAGGATTTTTCCTGTTTGTTAATTGACATTTATGACAAGTGTTTGTCTTCGGTATATCCCCCCTCACGTACAAATCTGATTGGCTTCATTATATAGATACGTGAGGATGCTGTGCAGATATATTAATGTGTAATATCTATAGATTATTAAGAGTGCGATATTATATTTATAGACACGTAGGGGCGAAACATCGTTATTACTAACCAATACAATAACAAAAAAATTGTTTATTAAATACAGAATTCACGTATCCGGTTACACAATTTAACAGTTTAAAACAAGATGAGAGAATCAACTCTTATAGTTTTTTATGCCTTTGTAATTAAGTAGGGAAGACTACCGTATATTACAAACTTTCGTTTTTGTAAGTGGAGATAAGATCTGGAGAGGAACAGATGAATGCCCCTTCTCAGTAATATAATACTGTTTTAGATAAGTAAATATCTCTGACGAGGTGATAAATTTTATTTTAACATCTACCCCTTACTGAGCTTTCTTTTAAGAATTTATTAATTCATTCAATTAAAAAAAAACACACAAATTTAACGGGGATTTCTATTTCTAATCTGGGTTACTGGACTTCTTTGGATAGAGTCATTGTTTGTTTCCCTGCTCTATTCCTGGAATGCTCATCTTCCTGCTTTTTCATCAACCTCCAAATGATCTCTACTGTGTCTTCTATTGTCAACATTTCGGTTGCCAAATTAAAATAATCTCTGTTTAACCTAATCTTGTCAACTTTTTTAAATTTTTAGTCGATATTTTCTTGCTTAAATTATCGCCTGGTCGCCTGTCGTACTTCAAATTAGTTATTTTTATCCGTAAAACCTCGAATTATGTAAACACTAGCGTGTTATTTCCCCTCTTGTGAAAATAACGTGGGATGTAAATGTGTTTAGTTTTATCGGATGAAAAAACGATTAGGAATGTTTACAAAAGGCGTCAAAATTACGTAACAGGGTGGTAGTGTTGCCATCTGTCGATTGGTATTCCGTCACGAGTGACTTAGGGGTGCACGGGGATGGTTTTGCGGCTTGTTCTTCTCCTCTGGGAGCATCCAATTTTCCGGAGATTACACGGTGTGGGCCATAGTCCAACGGTGGTGTCACACATCATGACGTCATTCACCTTTTTTTTTGCTTCATCTGTAATTTTTTTAAACACTAATCATCTATCTGGCATGTATTGGCTCCGTCTTAACATTAATTTAGGAAACTTCATCAGTCTATATACTCTTATACAAAGCTCCGAGCGGATAACAATTATAAAAGTCTATCGCCTATATTGTGGAAGAGTGAGAGAGAGAGAGAGGCTATGAATCAGAAACTCTTTGAAAATTAATTGCCGTGCAAAGAGGACTTTATCGACACGTGGCCGTGTAAAAAGCGACAAAAGCCTTCGGAGCGGCGAGTGTCAACATTCGGAATACACTAAAAGTTGACACTGTCGAGAAGGCAGTTGTCCCTTGGCACAGCAGATGATGTTTACTTAAGCGATTAGGTAGGTAGGTGCACCGTTGGTGGCCTGCTGATGATGATCCCACCATTCACTACTTCCCAACTCCCGATGGACACCAAAAAATACTGAAAAACCAATTTTAATGGAGATTAAACGGAGAGTGTTGATGAGTTACACCTTATTTAGATTCAAAGTCGGTGGAAGAAAGAGCGTTACCGCGTAACCCCTATTTACTTCTTAAAGACGAAACAATGCATTTGGAAAATTACTAAACCACCGAAAATTCTCATTTATCAAATTATCCAGATAAGAACCGCATCTATGTAGGGGTTTGTGCAGCAGAAACGTTACAACACGGAACTTCAATCTGTATGATGAAATGAAGAGAAGAGGGAACAATATTTACTCCCACAGATTGGTTTAATCTGGAATATAAATCAAGAAGCTGTCAGGCTACTCAAATAATTTCCTTTCTCTACAACAGTTTTCCTCCCAAACAATCAGCTAATCGCACTAATCCATATTTATGATTTTCCATCGGCTGATAACTCGGAAAATTTTCAGAATTTACCTTCTTTTTTCAGAATGTAATAATTTAAAATTGTGCATCTCTTTAGCGTATTTTATATCGTGTTTCGCACCATTACGACTCGATCAATTGTCTTTTAATTCTCTTTTATTACTGCTTCACAAAGATTTCCTGGGAAGTATCATTGAAGATTGGCGATAACCTATCTTCTTTGGTGAAGATGACAAGGCAAGATGGCATAACAAATAATGGCCCAGTGGGGAGGACAAAAAAAAGAGCCTAAATGGGACCTTTACTTGTCCCGAACTACACCGATAACGCTTTTTACTAAGGCATTGAAGGTAAACTAATATTTTCCAAATTTACGTGCTTCCTGTAAGATTACGAAGCTTATACTTATCCATTAATAAATGGCGAATGGTTTATTGTAAAAGTGGTCATTTATTAGATTTTACAACGTTGGATCTCTTTGTATCTCCTATTCGAAGCGTGTATATATCTCGCATTACTTTCAGACTCGGTATAACTTTACAGAAATAATGCTTATTTTAAATATTAAGAATATAACATCCATCATTAATAAACGCTGTGTAGTTTATCGCAAAACCGCTCATTTGTCAAATGGGATCTCCATTGTAGCGAATGTTTAACCTGTATCGCCCTACTGTTGTAGGTAAATACCCCTCATATCTTTAGTTCTGACCATTAAAAGATCAAAGAAAGTAAAGAATAATGTTTATTTTTGATGTTAAAAGAAAACAATTTGTTATTAATGAATATGATAAAAAAAGTTCTTTGATAAATTTTTTAGACGGCTGAATATTATGGTCATTCTTGAACCTATACGTTTTCTATCGTGGTATGTAAACACGTCACAATCTTAGTTATATGGCGCCCACAATAGAGAGAAACCTTAAAAGATAATGCGTATTTCTACTTCCAACCTATCGTTACTTGTTACCAAGGTGTGCGAATGGAATCCTCCATCTGACAAATTGCATTGTATAGTTTTGCTATGAATCACAGGATGTTGCCTTGGAAACAAGAAAGTTCCTAATAAAATGTCCGCTTTATTAGATGAGCGGAGAAAATACTTTTGCGGATGAATGCCTCCGGCTATTGTCGCCTACAATCTTCATTTGACAGGTGACGCAACTGATTTTCTCCCAATTATAAACCCATAAAAAACTAGGGTGAAGAACTAGGGTCTTTATTTAGACCAACGAAAACCAATTTGAAAAGTTTAGCATTTCTAAACAAGAGGCCCTTCTTAGGTACAAAAAAGGAAATCTATAGAAAACTATCAGCTCTGAATCATAGGGGAGGATATCGATATCGGAACAGGAAATTACTTCCTATGTTTTATCAAGTCTACACAGTTAAATGACCTCCCGGAGTATGCTAACATTACACCCACTGTGGTGAAAAATAGCACCCAGGGACCCAACAACAATAGCAATCGAATTAAAAAAAGAAAAAAATAGTGAAGCATCTTAAAAGCGTTGTATACCCTCAAATGGTCTGAATTCCTATCATTGTGCACGAGGCCTTTAAGAAAAAAAAAGAATAAAAAAGTCCTAGACAGCAGATGTGACTGATGTAGTGACTGGAACCTTCTAGTGACTGTGATAGATGGTACTTGCATGTGTCACTCTCAGTAAAGTTGATCCTCGGTGAATCCCTTGTTGGGGTGGAAGCTCCCCAATTCTGCAGCAATGACTCTAGTCAAATATGACACTTAATGACACAAGTAGAATAAATTATTCATAGTTTCATATTTGTCATCATTAACCCACGCTTTTTATCGCGTTAAGATGGTGTATTATAATCAGCCATTTTCCACCATTCATTAATCATGTGTCAGTCCTTCGATAATTTTAATGATGTAAAGTTAACTGAGAGGAATAAAAGTAAATGCTGATAAATCGAATATTGATCCTACGAATTGTCACCTGGATCTGAACAAAGAACAGGTGGATGGGGGTCTAGGTGACAGTCCAATAAAGAAGTTTATTTAAAATACTTCTGCTATTGTCGCTTGAAGGAGGGCTTAATGGAATTTAAAGACATCTGCCATCGTACTATTGTTCGTTGATAGCTGCGAAGCCTCTTCTTCCTTCCAGGCGAGATGGGAGAGTTTTTCTTTTTACAACACAAGGCTGATATATGAAAAATGGTATTGTAATAATTTATTAACGAAGGAAGGATGCACCGAGCTACAATAGCCCATTCAAGTTTAGTATATCGTCCCGTTTCATGTTGCTTGCTGTAAGTCTCAATGTCGTTCGCAAGAAAACATCATACAATCCTTTCATTGAAAAATTTCCTCTTCGGTCCTTTAACTGACCAGGTGGCCCGCATCTGCGAAAATTTTCCAGAATAAATTTTATTTATTTAAATAAGAAAAGTTGGATATAATATTCATCATCTTCTTCTTCTTATTTTTTTTTTTTATGAGGAATATCCCGGAAACACGCGACTAGCGTTTCAATTAAAGGCGCTTCTTAAAATAGTAACTTATAGTAAACTAAGATGGATCTAAATACTAAATGATAGGCCCTAACAACAGCTGCAAAAAAGTACCCTTAACCTCTTCCGAGGGCCAAGGACGTTAGACTCATATAAGTGAATGGGAAAATGATAATTTGATGACCTTGACACGAAAGAAGTACCATTTTTACATGTTATGAGTTTATTACTGATTAAAGAAGAATAACATAACGAGGAAGAAAAGACGAAACTGCAGGTAGAAACATAAGTTTTCTAACAAAACAGCAAAAAAATTACAGCAATTGAAGAGATCATCAACCGTCTGTCTTAACTATGTTTTTCTGTCTGAAGTCGTTAGGGGCACCACTTCTTCCGGACATAAACTATTTCATCTTGACATATTTTGAGTGTCTAGATAGCTTCTTTCGATTAAGGATATTAACAAAACATACAGAATGAGTTAAATAATTATATTTTTAGAAAAAATTTTCAGTTATTTCATAGTTTCATTTTGTACAGCGCTATCTTTACTGACTCAGCAAAACTGTAGTTGCACCATCCAGGATTTATCTTCTTGGCTCTCGATTCACAATAGACTCTACTTAGCTTCTGGAAAGATGGCGATTATTTAGAGTTGAAGTAGACTCTTTAACTTTTGGCTTAATCGAATTTTTGTTGCTTTTTCTCTTCAACTGGCTCGGATTTGTTTTCTAGTCATACCAAACGGATTTTTATATAGGTTTTAAGAGATTTTATGCGCCTTAAAGTCGAATTATTGGTTAAGGCTTTGTAAGCTTTGTTCTAATGAAAATCATATTGAACTTTTTAGTATTTTTAACGATTTATTGACTCTAACAAAGCTTAAAATCGAATTTAATTCAATATTGTGATTGGTTATTTAAGATTTGCTGCACGTAGAAATTCAATTTTGTATACCTTTATAAGCCTATTTTATTGCATCTCTTGCGGAATTTTTACATTAAAGTGAAGATATTTAACTTTTACTTTTCTGGATACCGTTCAAAATTCTGTGGAAAAATAAGATTATTATTATTATTATTCTTACAGAAACACAGAAAAATATTCAAGCAATATTTTATAGTTATGTATTCAAAGTAAATCATGATACAAAACTTTTAGTTTGTGGTTCTTTTTCCTTAGCATTATAACTGGAAATAACAAAACGTCTTAATATTCGCCACGTGTAGTGAGAGAGATTGGTCTCTTTTCCTCAGTTGAAACACAATCTCTTTCTCTCCATTGAATATGTCAAGTAAATTCTCATCACGAACTCAAATGTCAAACCTCGGTTTTATACTTAATGGAGCTAGGAACCAGTCAGCACTGTAACACCCACTAATGCTACAATCGTGATTCTTCCCCAAGATATAGAGATAAAAAAAATTACCACCCACTCGCCTTAATTGCCTGATTAGATGAGATGTTCAATAAAGAACCAAGGGAAAAAAGAGGAAAAAAATGTCATGATCTAAATTAGATATTTACAACGTCCAAGCTTTTATTTCCCCAAAGAAAATCTCTCTAGATATAGAAGAATATGACAATAAATCTGGCAATAGATGAAACGTCAAAAATTCTTTTGGAAGAAAAGCGAAATTCTAGTCAAAAACGTGATGGAACCGATATATTTTTTCTCCTATAAATCTGTATTGATATTGTCCTAAAGTAAATCTTATCATTTTAGAAAATGTTACTTTCTTTCTCGATGTTTAAATAATCCAACAAAAATAAGGTTGGACTCTAGGGAACGGACGAGATCCCACCATTTTATCCTGGATCCTAATGCCTCTACCCACTTTGGTTTCCTTTATCTTAAATGAGAAAGTCCAAAAAATGTGGTCCAAACTGAATGTAAGTTAACCTAAAAGAAAAATAAAATGAATTTTTTAAAATATTTCTCGCTCTACGTAAGTGTTTTATGAAATTTTTAGAATATATTTCATTGAATACATTAATTTTTAGAAATTAATTCAAGTTAGAAGCTGGGCATTCTATGAGCGGGAATAATTATATCTTAAAAAAGAGAGAATACACAGCCCATTACACCCTTAATAGGATTTACTTGCTGTCAAAGATAAATTGATTTAAAAATTATCCAGGGCTATGAATAAATCAATAGAAGCCCTTAAAGTGTCGCGTAAAATAGCACTTTCCTATTTCTAGCCGATGGAATTTCCACTTTTTCTATGGCGTAATTAGAACAAAATTTTTCAAAAAATCTTAGTTTTTTCTATAAAATTAAAATTGGAATTTATTTAAATATGTTGTAATGCTTATTTGTTTCTTAAAACTGAGCAATATTAATATGCTTAATATTAATATTGCTCATATTAATATAATAACTTAATATTAAGCAATATTTAAAAAATAACGAGAAAAATGGCTCGTCATCAACGATGGTAACGCAGTTTTTCTTGTTCTTTTTGTAAATTGAAAATTAACTAAAATAATAACAACAATAATTTAGCATATTTGTTAATAAACGTAGTAAGATCATATATATATATTGGATAGGAAAGAAGCTATTAAAAAAAAGTTTAACTTCCGTTTCTTATCGCCATTCGCTTAACGATAAACGGGAGCTTTGTTAGTCAGCATATTTCATCAATGTACAGTACCTCTTACGATAACTATTTAGAAACCCAATAGAGAAATATTAACCTGTTTGATCTCTGTTGTAAGTGTGAAAGTTAAATTTTCATAATTAAAATGAGTCAAATTGATGATTCGACAATGAATTACCGAGAATTTTAGAATATTTAAATGTAACGCGCAATACCTGTTGTTGTAAGACCGTAAAAAAACCTTCTTAAACTGTGTGAGATAGGCATAGTTACACTTCCTTCTAGAGGTCAGTGACAGTGTCTACAGAATAAACCCCCAATTAAAGCACCACGCCAAGAGAATAAGAAAATTACGAGGGTCGAAAGGAAGAAATAAAAAAAAGAAGGCTAAAAAACTTCGACGTAATCGACTCTAGCGCTGCCTGTTAGAAATTATTTCCGAAACAATTTTTTTTTTAAAGTTGTAGTAAAATTGATCCATTTAACGAGAATTTTAGGAATTTTATAATTTTTTAAACTGTTTTACAGGAGACCAGGATGGCTACTCTGGTGCCACGTGATTCTAGTGATCCAGCAGTAGCGAGTTACGGCGACAACATACCCGAATCTCGAAGCCAAGAGCCTTTAGTATGCACAATTTCTACAGAAAGTATGCAGTCGGCCGGTGGTTCTTCGGCAGTAACAGAAACTATTAGCAATCGGGACGAATCTAACAGCGAAGACGATGGTGGAACTTGTGGATGGGGATTCTTGAGACCCAAATGCATCCAACGCTTCCGCACTCCACGCTGGGTTCTGTTTTGGCTGTGCTGGGCGGGCGCCCTACAAGGGCTGATAGTAAACGGATTCATAAATGTAGTCATAACTACTATCGAGAGACGTTACGAATTAAAAAGTACCGAAACTGGACTAATCGCTGGTTGTTACGATATTGCTTCGTTTTTATGTCTAGTTCCGGTTAGTTATTTGGGTGGATCTCGGAGTAAACCCCTTTTCGTGGGTATTGGTGTACTAGTTTTAGCCATAGGTTCTTTTGTATTTACTTTGCCGCATTTTATAGCGGGACAGTACTCTTTTAGTCAAGAGCAAGAATTTTTATGTGGTGGTGGACAGAACGTGGACTGTAAAAACGTAGTCGGATCCACTCTATCTAACTATAAATACATTTTCTTTCTGGGTCAGTTACTACACGGGGCAGGAGCTTCCCCATTTTACACACTAGGATGTACTTATCTCGACGAAAATGTTCCTACGAAGATGTCATCTGTATATATAGGTAAGATCATTTTTATTTATATATTGATAATTCGTTATTAAATTGAAAGTAAGCTTCGTGTAAAATAGAGCTTAGTTGCTCAAATACTTTACCTGTTACTGTTACAGTCGACATTTGTAGCCTCTCTAGTGTATAATAAACAGTGCAAGTTACAGCTTAGTTTCAAAGATTTATTGCGCTTATAATAAAATAAAAAATAATTAAGTAAAACAATTACTATAAACGATTCTAATTTAGTCAATATTAAATGTAAAACTCGCGTACGGACAAAAAAACCTCTGTAAGTTGTCTGAACTGCTAAAAAACTCTCCTTTGTGAAACATAGGTAATAGATTTTGACGCGTATGTTTTAGAAAGTTAATCTATTTATTGGACAAATTCAGGTAAATAATTTTATCAGACAAGAGGTAAGTGGGAGAGTGCAAGACAATGGAAACATCCGCCTCCTGTCAAACTCAGTCTCTATCATCTTTACACATAAAAAACACTTCACAAACCCTCACCGTTAAAAAAAAGCTAACACCAAGTTACAACAAAGAAACATAAGGATGGTAAATTATCTTTTTTTTTTTTTTTTTTTTACTTCTGACTAGCACTTTGTCATAATTATTCTGAGTACATTAATTTGAGTCACTTAACCACAAGGCTCAATAGTTTTGTGTTATGCAATGAACATGTAAACTCACACTTCTATTACGAGGAACGTAATTGTAACGATTATTTAATTGATGGATGATAGGCACGCTAATTACTTAGATGAATGAAAATTCGGAACTGGGCAAAGGTCAATGTTAACGACGACAAAAGTTTAATCGTTAAGGAATGCTATAAAAGCAAGCTTAGATATTTTCATAGGATAAATACTAATTGTTAAAACGTGCTTTAAATTAGATTTAAGTGCCTATTACTTTGGATAAGTTGCCAAGAAAAATTTTGATGGCTTTTTTGCTCTAGATTGAATACAAAACATGAATTTTTGTATATTTGAAGTTGCCGTTTTAATTATTTATACTGTACATAACAGACAAAAAAAATTAATTTAATCCTGTTTAAGATCACAAACACGTTTCTGCCTTAATAAAATATATAAGATGTATATATATATATGTTACTCAAGAAGTATGAGAGTTAAAAAAGTTAAAAATATGAAGGTACACCTCCCAAGAGAAAATTCGTTTTTTTTTTGTTTTGTTTTTTGTACCTTATAAGCAAAGTATATTTGAATTCTAAATATCCAGAAGTGAGGAGAATCGGTGCAGTTGTCCTTTAGAAGATAAATTGAGTGCCAAGGGATTTTAGACGTAGATGAATGGATGGGATGCAGGGCGTTGATTTGTTGTGGGAGTGTTGATATAAGAACACTGACAAGTTCCTGCTGTACGTAACCCGCTAGCATTTCCATAATTCCTATACGTGTAAACGTGTATTATACAATTTTCCAGTGTAGAATTTTCCTTGTAAATTTATATTCAACCGGGTTTGCGATGTACAACATGTCAATTCTGTGAGAGAGAGAGAGTTTTAGCGCTACACAGCTGTATACATGTCACGTGTTTTACTCAATGACAGATTGCAGACTTATTCTTCATCCCCTTCCCCTCTTAACAGCAACAGAAAAACCAACTTCAATTACTTTTGTTGAACATATACACTTTCAGGGATGTTAGTCAACTGAATTTACTTTCCATTTCAATTTTATTCACCTTCTGCTATAGATTAACATCATCAATGGGATGTTTGGAGAAGGTTGAAAGTTTAAGATGCATACAAATGAAGATAGAAAGAGTTAAGAGATTGTCAAGTTTATTGAAGTGAGGAAGTGATGGATGACTTTTCATTCAGTTTCTTTAGTGAAGATGCTTCAACAATCATTTAAAAAAAAGAAAAAAGAAAAATAGTTTTGTGAAGAAAATTAAGCATGTTTTCATTTTCAAGCTTGAGAGAAAAACTGTTAATAATTATTCTAAAATTTAACGATATTTATTTTCCTTTACTGAACCAATATTAATTAATCTAATTTAATATAATTTTTTTGAAAATAAATAATTTTATTAATTTTTCTAAGCAGTGTGATAATTTATTACTTTAAAAATCTTTCAGTATTTGTGGAAAGCTTCATTTGATATTTAAATTAATAGTGAAACACAAACAATTTAATGAATCAGCAGGCACTGTTTAATCACCTCCATCTCCTATATCTCATCTTGAAGGAGAAAAGTCTCCTCTTACTAATTGTTACTTGTAATATAACATTATATAATTGATCACTTAAGTTAATTAATGTATTAAATCTTTAATTAATTAAAGTTACTTCTTAATTAGTTAAATTTAATATTTGGTAATGAAAATGTTTTTCATTTCTCATAATTAACTTTCATTTATCCAACTCTGTTTAAAAACTTAATTTATCAAAAATAATTTACAGGTATTTATTATACAATGGCGATACTTGGACCAGCAATTGGATATTTATTAGGGGGACAGCTATTAAAATTTTATACAGATATCAATGTTGACCCTGAAGAGTAAGTATTGCAGCTAGGAAATTAGATATTTTTTGCATTATTTTAATAAAAATATCAATGGTGTTCGTAATTGAAATATATAAAACTGGATAATGTAAGAATTGAATGTACAAAAATAGCTAAAGAACCATATGGCTCTTAAACTGTATCTGCCTAATCTCATTGCTTTAAACACCAAATCTGTAAATAAAATAATTTTTATTTTTATTAATTCTACAAGAATTTTTCTAATATTAGTTGACATTTTTTTATTGTATATAAAAATTTAGAAATAAACATAGATAATAATAAACCTATAAAAAAATACGCATGTTTTTTATATGGTTTATTATTGTAATACATAATTTTGAAATCTATATGCAAAATTAATGTAATTTTGAAAGTAATTAAGTTAATTTTTTATAAATCCATTTTTATTTTGAAAAAATAAAATAACATTTATATTTTAGATTGGGATTAACACCTTCAAGCAGTGTATGGGTGGGAGCGTGGTGGATAGGATTTTTGTTTTCAGCAGCGTTTGGAATACTTATTGCAATTCCCATCTGTTCTTTTCCAAAAGTTTTACCAGGTAAACAGCCTTATAAAAAATTATATAGTGTAGTTACATGCTAAAATTTGCCATTTCAAAAAGTGCCTAGCTATTTCTTGAAAGTGCTAGCATATCCCGTAATAGACATTTGTTTCAGAATCTGTCTAGTTTCTGCGAGTTTTTTAAATGCTAACCTGGTTTCAGCATCTGTCTAATAAAACTAACCATTTCGTGTAATGTCTAACGCAGTGCCAGTCGTAGCTATGTAATATGGAGGTGTTGTCGCAACAGGGCGAGAGACACGTAGCCTTTATAAAATCGTTTTGATTTTGTATAATGTTTTGATCAGCGCTGGTGCCCCTGGTCTAATGGCTTAGCATAGAGCCTAAAACAAAACAGCTGAATATATGTATACTTTAACATGCAGATTCTTGGATACTTGTTCTCGATGATAATTTTACATATTTTGTGTTTTCCTTTTTTTTTCTTGGCTTTTTCTGCCGTGTGGGCACTAAGAGGACCATTTTTCCATACTTATCGTGGGTTCGGCCGAACGCATGATGCAGCGGATGGGTGGAAAGAGACGAGGCTTGACGTATCCGGACTATTATCCATAAAAAATTTCTGGCATTGCTCACTCGGATTTGATTCCGGCTCTGCCCCAAAGCGGTAGGCTGACACTTTAATCGCCTGGGCCATCAGATCATCTCACTTCCTATATACTCAATCCGTGTAGTCTACAGTAAAGCAAAGCGCTTCAAGCGTTAGAAAATAAAATTACGTTGAATTGTTACCAACATTACTTTTTTCATTACTTTCTTCAGGATTTATTAAGTCTGCAACTAAAATTACTATAAATAACAATTATGCAGTTTGATTTTTGTATAGTTTATTTATCATATGGCATTCATCTCCGTTTTTTTTTTTTTGGTTATATCATCTAGAAACGTGGTCAGAAAAAATTTTGGAAGGAACCCAAATTTCGAAACTTTTTCGCTGAATGTAAAATAGTAATTTTAAGTTACTTATGTATTTTATTTCATTTATATTTTACAGTCATCAAATATTCTTAAATTCAAAATATTATTACGCTTACAAAAATAATTAATTATTTATTAATATTATTTTGTTGTAATTTATAGATATTTATTAAAACGGCATGTATTTTAATTTAGTTCACATTCGTTAAAACACACAGAAGTGGGAAATATTCAGCGGTTCTGTTTTGCACCAGAAGCTAATAAGCTGTTAGATTGATATTGCACGAAATGCTTAATTGCGTCAGAGAAATGTTGAATTATACACTTGTTTTAACATCTGAAAAAACTAGGTTAACATTTCAAAAACCAACCAGAAACTCTAGAAATATTCTGAAACAAATGACAATTTGCTAGTGCTTCAAGAAATTGTAAATGTTAGCACCTGGCTACCACAAATATAAAGTTTTATATATAATTATTTAAAATGAAAATCATTTATTTTATAATACATATTGCACAATGTATACATGACACTTGAATTTTTAATTTTTAGAATTATGAATCATACTATGAACTTTAATTTTAAAAGTTAATAAATACTTTGATGCTTAAAATAAATATAAAATACTATTTTAAAATAAAGTTTTAAGTTTTTTTAAGTTTAAAAAAAAAATTGAATTGTCTTTTAGTTTGAATATATTCAAAAATTCATATTATCTATAATTAATTTTCATCTTTAGTTTGTTTACAAAATTGGAAATTAAAAAGTCAAAATAAATGTTAATTAAAAAATTAAATGAAACAAGTTAATTGTTTAAATATAGTGTTTTCCATATGTAGTTGTTTCATATAAGCTTAACTATTTAGATTTAATATTTATTCATTTCCATAGAAAGAAAAAATTAAAACAAAAACAGCAGTTTTTGTTATAATTTGCATTTTGGATAGGATTTTCAAATAAATAAGCAAGCTTAAGGGTATCAATATCATATTACTCTTTTCTTATTGGATTCTGATGATTTTAATTGAAGTTCAAAATAATTGGATATAAACAAAAGCAATATAGTATTAAAGCTAATTAATTTTCAAAAGATTAAGCAAGAAATTAATTACTTGATGATGAGTTATGTGTCTGAAATAGATGAAAGGAGGATATGATGATAAATATTTAATTAGGAACACAGTGTAAAAATTAATGATACATTAATTAAAAAGTTGAAATTATTGTTAAAAAATATTTTTAATAATAATAAGAAAATAACATTAGTTAAGATACTAATTTTGAAATAAGTTTATTAAAAACTGTGTTTAATAAAGTGTGAAATAGAAAATAAGTTTATTGAACATTATTTAACCAAGTATAAAACTAATTTTATCACAAATTTTTTATTTATAATAATAATAATTAATTTTCAGATCATTACATTTTTAATAATTGTTTATAAATTTCACTAATCTATAGTATATATAGATTAAAATTTTATATAATAAATAAATTTTAATACAGTATTAAAATATTATAGAAAAGATTATATAAACTTCCAGGAAAATATTTAATCTTTACATATACTTAGTTTATTTTAGAACTTCATTGGAACATAAAGAGGAAAATATTTTAATACAAAGTTTAAATAAATAAAACATCACCTAAATTAAACAATTTATTCTTTTGTTCTAATTTTTTATATATGTTTGTGAACTTCCCTACAACAAAATAAAGAAAAAAATTATTTTATTCTATGTATATATATAGAATAAAATAATTTTTATAATATATGTATAT